TTCAGGTAGGAGACATGAATTTTCCTTTTAGAGGGCTGAATGTGTTATGGCCCCTAGGAAAGGAAATATCCAATAAATACCTACTGATGGGTCAATTTTTAAACATTCGGTTGTCAGGTTATTATTCTTATAGTTACTGTGGTTCTAAATGACTTCATAGAGAGATGAAAAGATGGAATTTTAAGTGACTTTTACTTTGTTTTTCAGCCTTTGGACAAAATTTTTCATAATCCATTATAGTAAAAGCATTTAGTGTTTCTCTTGAATTATAAGTTCTTTAAGACTATTTCAAAGCAGCTGATGATTTTTGAAAAAGCAAAATGATCTTACACGATGTAGAGAACCTGTACAAAACTTCAAAAGTGTAGGGACATACACACACATTCCCCTAAAGAATGAGCGATTAGGACGTGATAGCAGTAAAAATATTATGTTTGCTTTTATTTTAAAAAATTAAAAAAATTTAATTGAAACATTGTTGATTTACGGCTTCCCTGGTGGCTCAGTGCTAAAGAAGCTGCCTGCAATGCAGAAGACCCGGGTTAGATCCCTGGTTCGGGAAGATCCTGTGGAGGGCATGGCAACCCACTCCAGTATTTTTGCCTGGAGAATCCCCATGGACAGAGGAGCCTGACGGGTTATGTCCACAGAATTGCAGAGTGTCGGACACAACGGGAGCCACTTAGCAGCAGTAGGAAAGCTGATTTACAGTATTATCTTAGTTTTGTAACCAAGCAAAGGGTTTGTGTGCTCATGGCTCAGAAAGTCAAACTTTGACAGCACAAGTTTGCAGCAAAGCAAGGATTTATTGCAGGGCACCAAGCAGGTGAATGGGAGATGAGCCTCAGGTCTACTCCAGCTTAGTCTTTGAGTTACAGTGTTCTGAAGGGGAGGAACGAAGAAACTGGGATTACTCATTGCTCTGTGACATTTCTGTATCTGTGATTTTAGGAGTCAGAATCTCTCATTTGAGTTTCTGGCCAGGTGACTCCATAGTCTGTGAGCTCAACTTGCCCTAGTGAAACATCCTGAGTTTGTACCTTAGTAGTGACCATGTAGCAGTGATTTTAGTGCATTGTTAAGAATGCTATCAAAAGCTTTTGCACAGCAAAGGAAACTATAAGTAAGGTGAAAAGACAACCCTCAGAATGGGAGAAAATAATAGCAAATGAAATAACTGACAAAGGATTAATTTCCAAAATATACAAGCAGCTCATACAACTCAATACCAGAAAAACAAACAACCCAATCAAAAAGTGGGGAAAAGACCTAAACAGACATTTCTCCAAAGAAGACATACAGATGGCTAACAAACACATGAAAAGATGCTCATCATTGCTCATTATTGGAGAAATGCAAATCAAAACTACAATGAGATATCACCTCACACCAGTCAGAATGGCCCTCATCAAAAAGTCTACAAACAACAACAACAACAAAAGTCTACAAACAACAAATGCTGGAGAGGGTGTAGAGAAAAGGGAAAACTCTTGCACTGTTGGTGGGAATGTAAATTGATACAGCCACTATGGAAGACGGTATGGAGATTCCTTAAAAAACTAGGAATAAAACTACCATATGACCCAGTAATCCCACTCCTATACCCTGAGGAAACCAAAATTGAAAGAGACACATGTATCTCATTGTTCATTGCAGCACTATTTACAATAGCTAGAACATGGATGCAACCTAGATGTCCATCTATAGATGAATGGATAAAGAAGTTGTGGTATATATACACACGATGGAATATTACTCAGCCATAAAAAGGAACATCTCTGAGTCAGTTCTAATCAGGTGGATGAACCTAGAACCTATTATACAGAGTGAAGTGATTCTGAAGGAGAAAGATAAATACTGTATTCTAACACACATATACGGAGTCTAGAAAAGTGGTACTGAAGAATTTACTTACAGGGCAACAACAGAGAAAGAGACACAGAGAATAGACTTATGGACATGGGGAGAGGGGAGGAGAGGGTGAGATGTATGGAAAGAGAAACATGGAAACAACATTCAGTTCACTTCAGTTTAGTTGCTCAGTCGTGTCCGACTCTTTGCAGCCCCATGAACTGCAGCACGCCAGGCCTCCCTGTCCATCACCAACTCCCAGAGTCCACCCAAACCCATGCCCATTGTGTCGGTGATGCCATCTAACCACTTCATCCTCTGTCGTCCCCTTCTCCTCCTTCCCTCTATCTTTCTCAGCATCAGGGTCTTTTCAAATGAGTCGGCTCTCCACATCAGGTGGCCAAAGTACTGGAGTTACATAGATCGCCAATGGGAATTTGCTGTCTGGCTCAGAAAACTCAAACAGGGGCTCTGTATCAACCTAGAGGGGCAGGATGGGGAGGGAGATGGGAGGGAGGTTCAAAAGGGAGGGGAGATTTGTATACCTATGGCTGATTCATGTTGAGGTTTGACAGAAAACAACAAAATTTTGTAAAGCAATTATCCTTCAATAAAAAATTAATTAATTAAAAATGTTATCAACAGCAGTAACTTTAGTTATCTGATGCTGGTTGATTAGTGTTGTTAGCACAGGATTGAAGTCAAAGGGGAGGGAAAAATGAATAAAGTTTTGGAGAGAGAAATTAATCATAAACTCAATAAGAGATCTTGGTTTTAAGGGGACTCCTTTTCAGTTTCACGTGTACAACTTAGTGAATAGTTTTTAATAGATTATATGTATCTGTTTGCTTTTAAACTGTGGGTCTTTAAAGGTACAGAGTGGGCTTCCCAGTTGGCACCAGCGATAAAGATCCCGCCTGCCAATGCAGGAGCCGTAAGAGATGGAGGTTGGATCCGTGGATAGGGAAAATCCCTGGAGGAGGGCATGGCAATCCACTCAAGTATTCTTGTCCGAACAATCCCATGGACTGAGGAACCTGGGGGAGGGCTAAGCACTCATGCAAAGGTACAGATTATTCTTACTCAACTTGTACCTGCAATGTTTACTTCATTGCTTGGTATAGAGCTGGCAATGTCAAGTATTGACTAAATTTTAAGTGAATTGAAGGCAGCAGAAGTTTAGACAGTAAAGCTGGAGTCGCATTATGTCTAAAAAGATAGAGGAAGTAAAGATTTGGAGTTCTCCATATTTAGTCCCTTTTAATCCTTGTCAGGATTAACTCAGCAGTGGCCACAGGACAGGAAAAGTCAGTTTTCATTACAATCCCAAAGAATGCTTAAACTACCGCACAATTGCACTCATCTCACATGCTAGTAAAGTAATGCTCAAAATTCTCCAAGCCAGGCTTCAGCAATATGTGAACCATGAACTTCCAGATGTTCAAGCTGGTTTTAGAAAAGGCAGAGGAACCAGAAATCAAATTGCCAAGATCCGCTGCATCATTGAAAAAGCAAGAGTGTTCCAGAAAAACATCTGTTTCTGCTTAATTGACTATGCCAAAGCTTTTGACTGTGTGGATCATAATAAACTGTGGAAAATTGTGAAAGAGATGGGAATACCAGACCACCTGACCTGCCTCTTGAGAAACCTGTATGCAGGTCATGAAGCAACAGTTAGAACTGGACATGGAACAACAGAGTGGTTCCAAATAGGAAAAGGAGTACGTCAAGGCTGTATATTGTCATCCTGCTTGTTTAACTTATATGCAGAGTACATCATGAGAAACGCTTGTCTGGAAGAAGCACAAGCTGGAATCAAGATTGCAGGGAGAAATATCAATAACTTCAGATATGCAGATGACACCACCCTTACGGCAGAAAGTGAAGAGGAACTAAAAAGCCTCTTGATGAAAGTGAAAGAGGAGAGTGAAAAAGTTGGTTTAAAGCTCAACATTCAGAAAACTAAGATCCTGGCATCTGGTCCCATCACTTCATGGGAAATAGATGGGGAAACCGTGGAAACAGTGTCAGACTTTATTTTTGGGGGCTCCAAAATCACTGCAGGTGGTGATTGCAGCCATGAAATTAAAAGATGCTTACTCCTTGGAAGGACCAACCTAGATGGCATATTAAAAAGCAGAGACATTACTTTGCCAACAAAGGTCCGTCTAGTCAAAGCTATGGTTTTTCCAGTGGTCATGTATGGATGTGAGAGTTGGACTATGAAGAAAGCTGAGCGCCGAAAAATTGATTCTTTTGAACTGTGGTGTTGGAGAAGACTCTTGAGAGTCCCTTGGATTGCAAGAAGATCCAACCGGTCCATCCTAAAGATCAGTCCTGGGTGTTCATTGGAAGGACTGATGCTGAAGCTGAAACTCCAGTACTTTGGCCACCTCATGCGAAGAGTTGACTCATTGGAAAAGACCCTGATGCTGGGAGGGGTTGGGGGCAGGAGGAGAAGAGGACGACAGAGGATGAGATGGCTGGATGGCATCACCGACTTGATGGGCATGGGTTTGAGTAAACTCCGAGAGTTTGTGATGGACAGGGAGGCCTGGCGTGCTGCGATTCATGGGGTCGCAAAGAGTCGGACACGACTGAGCGACTGAACTGAATCCTTGTCAGAATGAAATCTGATTCCTAGAGAACCAAATTCTGCCAAGCTTCACAGCCTTCTCGGGGATCCCAGTTCATTTTCTAGAGTCACCCTGTAGCGCCATCTCCCGGAGCTGTTAAGAAACTTCGGATTTAAACCTCCACCCTCTTTTCAAGCTCTTGTATTACTCTCCTCCCGGGTCTTTTTCGGAGGCTCCCTGGACGCATGCGCTTTTGATGGGCAGCAAGCCAATGAGAGACTACAATTCCCAGAAGGCCATGCCAAAGCGGGGGGTGGAAATCCCATGGTCCGGGGAAGCGGGAGGGAAAGGCAGGAAAGCTCGCGAGAGGACGAGCTTGCCGCGCCTGCGCGAAGTGCGTGGAGGCGGGTGGAGAAAGTGAGGAGGAAGAGAAGGAGGTGCTGTCCCACAATACCAGGCGGGAGGGCGGGCAGGCGGTTTGTATCCGGGCTGTGAGGTGCTCGGAGCCGCCGCGGACCTTGCTGTTGCCTCTGTCTCTTTAACGCGAGAGGAAGCGATGCGGAGGGGTGGAAAATGGCAGAGCTGCAGATGTTACTAGAGGAGGAAATCCCGTCCGGCAAGAGGGCGCTGATTGAGAGTTACCAGAACCTGACCCGAGTAGCGGACTACTGTGAAAACAACTACATACAGGTGAGCCGCGCGGGCGGGCGGCCGGGCGCTGCCGCCTGGGCCAAGGACCCGCCACCGGCCGACCGAGTGACCAGCCCACTGGGCGAGGTGGGGAACTGCCTAACCCCAGCGGCAACCCCAAAGCCCCAACCCAACCCCAGGCTCAGCCGGGGTAGATAGCGAGCGGCCGGGCTCGGGGAAGTCGGGCTGTGATACAGGAAGTGGCCGCGGTGGTTGAAACCCCGAGAAGCCGAGAGAGAAAATGGGCGAGGGATCCCGGATCCGCGGCCGCCGCAGCCCGGCGCCCCGCTGCCGTCCCCCTCCCGCGCGGGCTCGGCCCCCAGGACCGTGCTGCCCTCCAGCCGCCTTCCACCCGCTGGGCTTCCGTCCCGGAGTCCTCCGCCGCCGGCCGAGGGTCTCGGAGCGGCCGACTGAGCGGAGAGCCGAGAGCCGTGACGAGGAGAGGCAGGAGCCGGAGGGGAAGCGGGGGTGCATCGGGGGAGGGTGGGGTGGGGGCGATTATGTCAGTTTCAGCCCAGAGGGTGTGTCTTTTATTTATTTATTTTTTTAAAAAAATTGGTCATGAGTCACATCACATAGACCTCCCCGAGGAGAGGAGGAAGCGGGTGGGGAGCGAGGGAGGGCGTAGAGAAGTTAACCTCCGAATTCCCTTTAATTGAAGGTTTGTAAATCTGCCTGCCTGTCGGTTTTCAAGTCGGGTTTTTTTCCCTTCTCATCAATTTCACTTCCGCCCCCACCACAATATATGTTAGAGATTGTTAGGGCGGTCGTTAGTGTAAAACACAAATTATCCTTAACTACTTGGAAAAATGGCTTGAATATTCTCTCTTCCCTAAAAGTTCTTGAACTGGTGGCTCCTTAAGTAAAAATAGAACGGTATAATCGCCGGTTGCTTTTTTTTTCTTGAGGTTTGCCTCTTTCCACCCTAAGTGCATGTATAGAATGAATCTCCGAACTAGAACTGTAACGTCAAATATGTTACTGTAAATTTATTAGAAAATTCTTGTCACTTTTCTATGACAGGGGTTGCTTGTTTGCTTTTATTTTAATGATTGAAAGTGAATTGTGTTGTGTGATAGTTTAATTTGTAGATCTTTAACTGCGTAAACGTAACAGTTTGCAGTAGAAGCAAATAAAAGTAGCAGAGTCCTTTGTATCTATGTAATGGCACCAAAATCTCGCTTGTTAGTGGAAGGCATGACCCAAACGTGCTTTGAAAGGTTGGGGTTATTGCAATTGAGAACTAAAGTATTTATAGAACTGCATCCCATGTGATTATCATTTTTAAGAACCAATCATCTCTGTGTTGGCAAATACTTTTCCTCTTTATTTTTAGAAGGAGATACTGTTTTCAGAATATTTTGAATATTTCTCAATTCCCATATTAGTAACATTGTATTTTCAGTAGCACTACCAGGAATTTATCTCAAATTTTTTCCAGGCTTTTATTTTAGAAATTCCACTGATAAACTTGTTGAGTGCCTGCCACAACCACTGTATTACTTGTTTTTGCAAACTTTATATTTGGCTTTTAAGAAAATATTCCTAAATCTAGTAGGAATGTGAATATAGTTTTCAAATAGAAACGCTGACAGTTTATCGATATTAAAAATAAACACGTTTTATTCAACTTCACATGAAGAACATTAAAATTGAGGTCAATCTCAGTTTGCTGCAGATATTAAAGATTTTGAAAGCCAAAGGAAGAGCGCAGGAAGTTAAATTACCCACATTCAAGAGAAGTCATTTCTTTGTGGAAGTCAGCAGACAGGCGCTTCATAAAGGGGTGATTTCTTTTTGTTTTGCATGTTGGGAAATCTGACAAATATATGGTGTGGTAACTGCTACGTGTTGGCCAATGCAAACGTGTTTTAACCTGTCTGTTGACTATTTCTTGTTCAGGTAGTAGTGTGCTGTTTTTTTTTTTTTTCTTCCTTGACCCCTTTTCTTTTCCCTTCTTGCTTACCATCATATAATTTTGAAGCACTAAAATTTCATTATAAATAAATAAATCATTCTGTTTCTCTTGTAGTCTTTTAGCGTGTTAGTACCATGGTGCTAAGATGCACTGTCACTGGCCCCAAGTTGTTTATTTTTGGTGATCCTCAACACCAGTGAGATACTCAGAAGTATTGGGGGGAAGAGGGAAAGGATGAAATTCACACACAGCAGTGTTTATCTTTGTAGCTTTGGGCTCATGAAACTGGTCACTAGCTGCTTTCCCAGGAGGCTCAGACAGGCTCCAAAGATGACGTGCACTTTGTGGAAGTTGATGTGGTGGTAGCTGATTTTGTGATCTGCCATGGTGCTGTGGAGAGGGGACAAATAGTACTGGAAATATCTGTTTGGATGTCTTTTGAGATCTCTCTTTATCCTTTCTGTGACTATTTGGGTAATGGCCAACACCCTGTGTAAACATAGCTTCACTTGGAGAAAGTATATGGTCACTTGTGTTTTGAGAATTTTTTTATACCCAGGGTGAGTTAAATTACTGCCTGAGTGATTTTTATCCTGAGAGTTTAGTTTTGATTTTGTTTCATTCCTACACTTTGGAAGTACAGTTCTGGTAAGGTGTTTAGCTGGCAAGTTCTTTTGGCTGTAGTGCAGTTGAGTCCTTGAGCACTTTGTTAGCTTTTTTGGTCCTGTTGACTTTATTAAATTTTATTATTAATAGCAAAACTCCTCAGAAGAGTCCGCTATCTTTTATTTTTTATTTTTTTTAACTTAATCCCCTATTTATTTTTTTTTCCATTTATTTTTATTAGTTGGAGGCTAATTACTTTACATCGTTGCAGTGGTTTTTGTCATACATTGAAATGAATTAGCCATGGATTTACATGTATTCCCCATCCCGGTCCCCCCTCCCACCTCCCTCTCCACCCGATCCCTCTGGGTCTTCCCAGTGCACCAGGCCCGAGCACTTGTCTCATGCACCCAACCTGGGCTGGTGATCTGTTTCACCCTAGATAATATACATGTTTCGATGCTGTTCTCTTGAAACATCCCACTCTCGCCTTCTCCCAGAGTCCGCATCCGCAATCTTTTAAAAAGGACAGGGCTTTTGAATTTCTTAAGGGAAATTAGTATTCAAAATAGAAAGTGTATTTTACTTAGACATAAAGAAAAATCTTTGCCTTTTTCTACCTTTAGTTTGAATTTTCTGGTGGTTATGTCAAAGACAGTCACTGTTGAACTCGAATTCATTTGTTCTGGCCAGTTCTCTCCACTCCACTTCGGGGTCCATACTGCCTTTGTCATAGGGACTCTGGGGGAGTAGGAAGGAGATATAAGTGAAAAGGAGCAGAAACTGCTTATGAAAGATTTCTCAGCATAGGTTGAGTAAGGACAGAAAAGTCTTTCTTACAGCTTTTTAATTTTTTCCTCTGGAATCCCCCCATAGGGGCTTCTTTTGGGTCAACAAGTATATCCTTACCTCTGGGAGGATGAGGGGATACCATCAGTGAGCTACTTAGTCTAGCTTGATTTCCTCTACCTGTGATGTTAGTTTGTATTCATTTGCTCATTAGACTCATAATCTTGGAAGGCAGGTAATTTTTTGAGTAGGAGCACTCTGGAGTAGGTAAAAACTGACTCTTGTGGTACTCTATAGTTTATTCCAGTTTATAAAGTGATGTCACTTAGGTATTACAGTAATTCTATGATTTTTTCTTTTTCCTTTCCTTTTCTTTTTTAAACAAATGAGCAATCTGAGGTTCTGAGACATTGAATAGCTAGCTTAAAGTTCCATATCATGTATGGGATAGTGCCTGGAATCAAACCCAGATTTTCTGATTCTGTATCCTAAGTGGATAAAAAGAATGTATGAAGAGGGTAATAGAAAAGGGAAGAGTCAAACACCTGCTTCTGCTTATTGAGTACCTACTCTGTCACAGTCTTTGCTGGTTGATTTGTATTATCTTTAATCCTTGCAAAAACTCTGTGATAGACAGTATTCTCTTACAGATGAAGAAATTAGGACTTGGAAAACGTAAATAAATTTTCATTTTATCATACAGTTAGGGATTGGCAGTCAGGATTTCTCTAACTCTGACAGGCTCTAAAAGCCATACTCTCTCTTTTTTTTTTTTTTTTTGATTTTTAAAAGTCCTTTAAATCATATGTTTCCACTTTTTGCATGCCCATCTTCCCATTTCTCTTTTTTTTTTTCCATTTATTTTTATTAGTTGGAGGCTAATTAGTTTACATCATTGCAGTGGTTTTTGTCATACACTGAAATGAATTAGTCATGGATTTACATGTATTCCCCATCCCAGTCCCCCCTCCCACCTCCCTAAGCCATACTCTTTCAATATCACACTGTCTGGAGATGCGAATGAGTCCAGAAATATCATGAAATAAACAGACTCTTGTGAGTTGTGTCTGGGATCCTCACAACTATTTTACTGTTGTTTCCTCTGAGTTCCAAGTTGTTATATAAGAACAGGTATGTTTGTAATTTGGGAACTTGCCTGAATCACAAAATATAGTAGCTTTGGCACTTGAAGTATTGAATTACAAGAATTGTAGGCTAGTTTTTCACTGAGCTCACTGGTCCCTTTTCCTTTCTTGTGTGTTTTTGCCTTTTTTTCCTCTTCTGAATCAGCTTTGCGATTGTGATAAGGAAATTTGTAGAAAAATTAGTAAGTAAGTGAGGTAAGTGAAGTCGCTCAGCCGTGTCCGACTCTTTGCGACGCCATGGACTGTAGCCTACCTGGCTCCTCCCTCCATGGGACTCTCCAGGCAAGAGTACTGGAGTGGGTTGCCATTTCCTTCTCCAGGGGATCTTCCCGACTCAGGGATCGAACCCGGGTCTCCTGCACTGCAGGCAGACACTTTAACCTCTGAGCCTAACAAAACAAAAAACTTCTTGAAATATTTGGAGTAGTTGTGATTTCCACACAAATTGTGTTCAGGTAAAGACAGTCAAAATGATGGCAGAGATGAGGACAGGTTAGAAATGGTAAAAATCTTAATTGCACTTGAAAGTTTGAGTAAAACAG